TTTATGTGCCCAGACCCAGCTCTATATTTAACTCCCCTGTTGTAGCTCCACTTGTCAGGTTATATTTAGCAGTAATTTCAAAGCAAACAGCTCTAAAAGTGAAGTGACGCAGATCCGTCGCAGTTCAAAGCCACTGATCTCCTGTAGGGACTTTCCTCTCTGGCCACCATTCGCACTCTGAGCAATGGTTATATTTGAAAGATCAGATGAAGAACGGCAATTAAGGGTCTTAATTTAAACTTTCAGAAACGTGTCATTAGAGTAAAGCCTTTAGTGTGTGTGTGTGTGTGTGTGTGTGTGTATGGACTCACTCTGCTGACTTCTGTCTTTGTGCTTTAGCTGCTGCAGTTCTTGTTGTTTCTCATGTTGCTCCTGCTCTCGCCTCCTCTGCTCCATATTAAACTGGAACAGAGAACATGTGAAGAAAGTTGCGTCATTCCCTTGTAGCAGTTTGCCCATTCATGCATTTCAAAAATCGATAATTTTCACGTTTGATTTCACATTAGATTTAAACCAGTATGAATTATTTCCAGGGTCAATGGTTTGATGGGTGCGTACAAACAGAAGAAAATGGCATTGGGAAAAACCCTGAACATAGACATATTTTCCCTTTTCTGTTTACTTTTGATTCATGCTTTTCCTGACTGGTCGTGAACCCTTGTATTAAAGTAATCCCTACCCTGATTTGCTGATGCAGCTGTTGCTGGGAGAAGGCGCTGTGGGGTTGCGGGGTGAAGGGTGTGAGGAGTAAAGGTTGGTGCAGCGGGGTGAGAAGCGCTGTTTCCGAACCAGGGCGCATCCCCCTCTCTCCCACCCTGAGGTCCATGGGAAGGAACGCCGTGCAGGACACTGAGAGTCCCGTGCAAAAACCTGCGACAAGATAAACAGATGGAGGGAAAGGGAGAGAGTCAGTAAAGGTTGGACATTTAGAACATATTAACAAAGTTACTTTTTAAATGCATTTTTGTATCTTTTCTGTTAAAATCTAGAAGTTTGAGAAAGTGCGGGACAGATTTATGCCCAATCTTGTTTCTACAGCAAGTCAGAGACCAGAGGTATCAAACTAGCATTAGAGATGCAAACCAAAAACGATGCATTTTCTAGACTTTTATCAGTTTGAACGTTCAAATGAAGATTGTTTGCCGTTAATTATTTGAGTTACAAAAAATCTGAAATGCAAAGTCGATGGTTTCAACTTATACACTGTTTATTTGTGCAGACGCCACGTGGAAATGAACCTTCACTTTATAAAACAGTACATAGCAGGGATTAGACTTTTGCAAAAACATTTTTTTATAGGGGGGGTTGTCCAAAAAAAAGCTTTATTATTTTGAATTACATGTTAGATTCAGTATGAATCTAATTCTCATCAATCTTCAAAATCCAACATGTCTTTAAAGCACAGTAGCTACCTTCTCATTCTTCTTTAGATAGGAGAGAATTGGGTGTCTTCTTTTAGGTTTTTGTGAAAAACCAAGGCTGCGACTGGGGTTTAAGTCTAACTTAAGTGGTTTAAGACTCACCAAACTAGGTATTCAAAGTCCTGTTTCAGCTAACATTAGCAAGAGTAAACTGGACTTTAGGTTTGAGCACATAGTATTTACAGATGGTGATGTTTGCAAAATAAACAATAAAAACAACTTCATAAAAAAAAGGAAAAGAAAGAGCTTCATAGGCATTTTCTTCAAAAAATAACTTAATAGCTTTGAATAGAAGATGAATGATTTAACAGTGGAAAAACTAGTAAAATGTTTAATAGTTTTCATTAAATATTTATTAGTATAATTCAATTTTTTTGTTGTTGTTCTTTTTTTCCATGTATTTTTTTCTATCACTTGCGAAAAAAAACATTTAATTCTTTATAAATATCTATTCACCCCCACCCACCAACACATTTGGCCAGGCATTGCTTATCTGTTTTTTTTAAATCTCCACTTCCGAGATCCGGATCCCACAAAGTGGCAGTTGCTGTTGTTCCCACAGGCGTGGCCTACAGCTGATTTGGTTCCAGATCAAAAACACCTAAACTGCTTTAGGTTATCTGTATCTAAACCTAACATCTTGTCAGTCTGGTTGCAATAACATGACTTGCCAGATTTGAACAAAAAAAAATCCCAAAAATGTGTAATGATGAGGAAGATTAAATATTTTAGGCTTTACTGTACTTATTGGCACTTCTCAAAACAGGATTTTCTCTGTGGAAGCGATGAAAGATGTTTGAAGTCAAACTATGCTCTCATAAAAGGCCAAAAAAAGTTTAATCTATCCGTTTTGTTTGGCATCCACCCCCCACCACCCCACTGCTGTCATCACTCATCAACATTTTCACATTTTCATTCTCTTTGCATACTGTCAGAGCTGTTTGCATAGCATAGCTAAGTCCCGGGAAAAGATTGCCTCAACCGGCACTAAATACAGGATCAAGGAAGGGAAAAGGCAGGGGGTGGTTTCTGTCCATGATATACACAGATGTTCCCGACGTACAGGAAAGGAAAAAAACTTTATGGTGACTCACATCAGGAGCAGCTGTTGGCACGTTGGACCGCCACATGAACGGCCCCAGAAGCTAACAAGAATAAACATGCGGACAACGCTGCAGGAGCAACAGTCACTCTTACATCCATCCGTTGCTCTTTGCTACTCCCATGGTTTTCTATTTACTTCGATATACTTCCTTGTGGGAAAACCTTCACAAACATTCCAAAAAACCCCACTCCCACTCACAAGCAGATGCATCTGCACACATTCTCCTGAAGCAAACACACAGCCGCTCACACCATACAGGCTGGAGCAGACGCTGATTGCTCTAACCTGCCTGGCACTGAAACTAAACTTTAGAAGCACACAAACATTGACATGTATTAAAAATAACTATCTGACATCATCTTTTTAGCTGTTATGCCTTGTGCTCAGCTGTCACTTAGCAGAGGGGGAAGTGAGTGTCACTCTCAAAGAGCTCTGGCCCGTCGCCAGCAGCCGGCAGGGAGGAAATACAGTCAAATGAAAGCAACTGATACATTTAGTTGGTTTTTGTCTCAAAATCTCTGTTAATTGAACTCTTAAATGCATTTGTTTGCCTGTGAGAGGTTGTGCACAGGTCGGGACTCCTCCATATTAGGAGGTCCAAGCACAGAGAGGCAGCGCAGATGCCGACTCAGGCTGGAATGACAGCCATCCCTTGGCAGGAGAACCTACAGCGCTGTGATGACACCAAGGAATAATAAGGTTATTATTCTTGGAAAAAAACGGGGAGAACATGCTTTTACCAGGAAACAAAGAATGCAGGAGTGTGCGTGCACACACACCCCCACAAATAAAGTCTATTCCTGGTTTCTATTCTTTTTTACTCACTATAGACTCACTGTCCCGACATGCGGGGAAACCACAGCCACACAGTCATGTCCCTCCTGACTATCTGCTATTTATACAGTTTCTCTAAAACACAGAAACACCTGACCACTCAACGCGTTTCTCATTGGTCATCATATCAATACGCAGCTTTACTCTCATTCAGAATGGATGGAGAGGATCTGTGAACGTTAATGTTTGCGTATTTTCAAAGATTCTCATTCGGACTGAAGTCTGGGCTTTAGATGGAGCCCCTAAGTAGAAGTGCAAACATCACCCTGATTTGTCAACATGTTAAATGCAAAACTTTGTGTTGATCTATTTCATAGTATCCCTATGAAGTAATTAAAAAACAAGAAAACAGTGATTAAAATATGTGGAAGTCTCTGTACATAGAATGTGAAAGCGCAATAGAACTGCTGCTCCCTTACTAAAAAAGTCACTACTGTAATCTAAATGATCCTATTTCCACTAAGGACGTGAGAATCTTATCTTTTCCAAAATGCAGAACTTGTTCTTACCAAACCAGAATTTTCTACAAAGATTTTAATAGCTTTCATATTCTAATTGAGTTGGACTGGCCTAAACTTTCTGAGATTATGAAACTGATGAACAAACCATGACATTTTGGCTGAAAAATGACTTGACTCACAATTACCATTAGTATTGCAGAATGACTTTGTAAAAAATACAGTTTAAGTTCCCATGTTCCCATAACGGCATGACCTGTAGCACACAGGTGGGTTTAGTCTGTAAACTGAAGTAGCCACATCTACTCGCTTTCGTTCTCCAAGCAGCTCCGATGTTCTTAGCTGATCTGTAAAAGGTTACGTTGCAGCTCATTATATCTCCTTAAAATCTTGACCACAAGGTCAGAATTTGTTGTTTTTCTTTTGTAGATTTCACATTGATTTCAAGCTTTTTTTCCCACAAGCTAACAGAGCAGGAAAGGCATGTGTTGAAATAACATTCAGAGCGTACGACCCATGTGGACACACATGTGACACCTGCAGAACATCTGCTTTGCTTTCAGCAAACCAACTCCAGAATCATCATTTAAAATGGACAAATGTAACGTTTAAAATAGTGGATTTTAAATAGTAAAGCTTTTTTAATAGAACTGAATTTACTTTAATAAAAGTAAATTCAAACTTTATTTCCCTTCAAAATCTAGTTTTTATTTAAATGTTCCAGAATTTACTGCTAAAGAACCTGAAGATATGTGAGGGTACAGGAAGTATGGGGGGCAGAAAGCATCACAGCTGTGTTTGCTAATCTTGTTATTTTATTCCTATAATCAGGATTACACAATAAATACTCCAAAGATACACTGCAAAAAATGTAAGTATTTTTTTTCCTATAATAAGTGCTTTTTTTCTTGAACTGAGGTGGTGATTGAGACACTTTGCCAATAAAACGAGACACTTTACATTTAAAATTAGAAAAAACAACTGCATTGTCTTTTTTCAATTGCATATTATCTAATTATTTTATTTTAAGAGAAAAAAATACTTAATCCATTGGCTAATAATCTAATTTACCTACTCAAATTAAGGGTAAATATGCCTAATTTAAGACATTTGTTACTTATTTCTGGATTGTTTTTGCAGTGTACAGACTCCCACGACTGTATGAGTCTGTCAGTATGTGCAGGAGCATCGGCCTGATATTATGGAAATCTTCACGGCAGCTGTGAGACACCATTTGCCTGGTAACCTGGACCGTTGGGAATGTGCTGATTTGTCCTGCAGATTAGGTGCGTGTTTCCAGACGGGCGAAATGAAACACAGGTGTGTTGAGGAAGATAGTCGCTCCCACAGACTATAAAGGTGATGCCTCTCCTTTGATTCCTCCCAGCTGTTATTACTTTGTTCTAAATGTGTGCACAGCTTAATACGGACCGGTTTAACAGGTTGGGTTTAGAACAAACAAAAAAAAGTTTTAAAAAAAAATCACACTCTCTATCTCTCGGTCTAATTTGATTTTGGTAAAGTTTTGCCATATTGATATAGTAAGATTAAAAGCACATAATAAAGTTCATTTGACTTGGATTTTATTAACCTGATCAAAATATCACATTATTATACATATTAAATAAACATTATTATAAAAAAGAAAAATTATAGACATATTTCCAAACTGAGACACAGCAAACCTGAGTAAAAATTGCTCTACTGCACTTGCTGCTATTGCACTTCTGGTTAGACCTTAACTGCATCTTGTTGCCTTGTACCTGTACCTGCGTAATGACAATAAAGTTGAATCTAATCGAGTCTAATCTCTGCTACACCAAACAGTAACTGTGCTTTTAGGCCTAAACACAAATATCTAAGTGTGGAAGGAAGCCAACACTTCACGCCGTCCTGAACATACCATCCCCACAGTGATACACGGCAGCTGCAGCCTCATGCTATGGGGATGCATGGAAAGCTTGCCTGAGTTGACAGAATGATAAGTGAAAGAGAATTCAGGCTAATAATAGAAGGAGACGTGTTAAACCGCAATCATCAGCTGCCTTAGAC